TATATATATATATATATATATATATATATATATATACACATATATATATATATATATATATGTATGTATGTATACACAGTAAAATATAAATATCAATGAATAGCGGAATATTTCATCTTATACAATTAAAAAAATTGTTTATTTACAGAATTTTTTTCGTTTTTTATATGACACGCTTTACTATTTATTGTCATTTGTGTTTTTGCTCTGAGCAATTCACAATTCTATTTGACTAACTAGAAAAACAGTGTAATATGCAAAAACATTATGTCGATATGCAGCATCCTTTTAAATGTCGCAAAGAATTATTCCTTTTATGATTAAAAAGTTTGACATTCAAAATGTAAATGATTCAGTATGACCAAATATATGGTATTACGGCTAATACATAGAATTCATATCGGCTAATTCCATTCTCTATTTATTTACAATCTATATCTCTATTAATTTATTATCAATTTCACTGAAAAAATTTTTCATTCTTTTTCACCGAAAATTCTTGGCAACAATTTCTGAAAGTTTTATAGCGATTAATTTAAGCAAAGAAAAACATTTTGTCTGTTTGCACTTGTATGTCACAGATAGCAACATGATATTTATTGTGACCTGTTTATAAAGAATTGTAATGTTTTATTAACACATACACGGATACAGCGAAAAATGATATTTTTAAACACTGTGTCAACGAATCAAACCGATCTTCACGATTTTCAAGATATTACGCAGCGTATCTTCGTAAGTGGCGTGTAATTTAACTGCGATATTAAACTTTTCTCAAACACGACGGATAATCACGAATGTTTCGATTTTTGTACATGACTTGGAAATATCCCGCTTGGGATACTGTGCAAAGATATATTTCGTTAAGTTACACGTGTAAAAATGTGTAGACTATTTTGTATAATGATTCAATATATGTGTCGTGCGACATGCTAAGGTTTTTTATTTACCATAACTTTCCCGTTAGCTTCCCGTACAACTCCTGCGATTCATTCAAATGTATGCACTCTCTAGAATATGTTAATTATGAGACTGTGCCGCTCCAATTCATGATCTAATCTATAGGTTCTCAAACTGACGGAAACTATTTTAATAAGAAGAAAGAGGACCTAAATAAGATCTAATAATACAATGATATTTGTAGACATCTAAAAATACTTCAGATAAGAAAATTAATGAGAAAAAGTCTCTATATAATTTAATCATTTTATTTTACTAGCTTAAAGACAAATCTTAATGAATATAATTGATAATATCGAAAAAAGAATGAGAAAATTTGGTGATATAGTTAAATATTTTCATACATATTGCATCAACATAACGTTTATTTGCTTCATTATTGATGATTTGTCAATAACTTACCTTTAACGACACTTGCAAAAATACAGAAGTATTACTTTAGAATGTTTACGGCTCCTGGGTACTCGCCGCGGCTATGTTGGATCGTGACGTCCAAGCGGGAAATGATACATTTCTACGTACCATTCTCGAATAAAAAGTTTTCCCTCGTCTATTTTTGAATGAAAAAGCACTTCTAATCACTTGAGCGTATTTATAAAAAGCTCTAAAAACTGTCTTTATCTGATGATAGTTGACAAATAGCCATAAAATTAACGTGATAAAATTATAAAATAAAATAAGATAAAATATGTTTAAAAAAAAGAGAAAAGTAGCATGTGTTAATTTTTCAATTTTATTGTTTATATATCTATATAAAGCGAATTATAGTTTTCAAATCATACATTGTTAGTGACAAAGGCTGCTATATGGCTTCAAAAACTGTCTCCGTTTTTAGACTAAGGTACTAAACTTCTTAACACGGTTTCGTATGAATACCTGTTTTTCATTGCGTCTATAATTACAAAAAAATTAACATCTCGGACTAAGAAATAATGAAAGTGACAGCTTCATGAGTTATGAAACCTTAATGACTAATCTACGATATGAATAATTTTCTCCATTAAGTATGATATGCAACTTTTTCCATATAATTTACTTTTCGATACAGTTATTCAAATGTTTTGAAGCTAACATCCAATTGAAACAAATTAATTGTAAAAAGCATATCAAGTAACCAGAAAGAATATTATTTCAATTCATT